GTGCCGTAAAGATAGTGCTTCCAAATCTTAAGTGCAAATACTACTGCCCCCAATTCAAGGTCATGTGTAGTATAATTCTTCTCGTGCACTTTAAGTTGCCTTAAGGCATATGCAATTACTTTGTCTTTTTGCATTAGCACGCATCCTAAGCCTTGATGCGATGCATCACAATAGACCACAAAGTTTTCCGATCCCTCTGGTAAATAAGGATAAAACAGGGGCATTGCATAGCCTCTGCTTAAGAGTCTCAAACGCTTCTTCCTGTTTCTCACCCCAAACAAATTTCTTGTCCTTCTGGGTTAAGGCTGTGAGTGGTTGTGCAATTTTCGAAAACTTCACGATGAATCGCCGATAATAGCCTGCCAAGCCAAGGAATTGACGAATTTCCATCGGGGTTCTTGGGGCTTCCCATTTCTTAATGGCCTCAATCTTGGTAGGATCTACTTGTATCCCTTTTTTATTGACTAAATGACCAAGAAATTGTACTTCACGAATCCAGAATTCGTATTTGGAAAATTTTGCGTACAATTTCTGGTTTCGGAGTAGCTCAAATATTATCCTCAGATGTTGCTCATGGTCCTCCTTGCTTCGTGAATAAATTAATATATCGTCTATGAAAACGATTACAAATTTATCCAGGTACGGTCTRCAGACTCTATTCATTAGGTCCATAAAGACAGCCGGTGCATTGGTTACCCCGAATGGTATAACCAAAAATTCGTAATGACCGTAACGAGTTCTGAAAGCTGTTTTGGGAATGTCCTCTTCCCAAACTCTCACTTGGTGGTATCCAGATCGTAGGTCAATCTTGGAAAAATATACCGCACCTTGGAGTTGATCAAACAGATCATCGATTCTAGGAAGAGGATATCTATTCTTGATGGTCAACTTATTAAGTTCCCTATAATCAATGCACATTCGCATTGACCCATCTTTCTTTAACGAATAGAATCGATGCACCCCATGGTGAGTAACTTGGTCTTATAAAGCCCCTATCTAATAAATCCTGGTTTTGATTTGACATTTCTTTCATCTCCGATGGTGCCAAGTGATATGGTGCCTTTGCCACTGGGGCAGCTCCAGGAAATAAGTCGATACCGAATTTGACTTGTCTTTGCGGGGGTAGTCCTGGTAAATCCTTAGGAAATACATCAAAAAACTCCCGAACTACAGGGGAATCTTTAATACCTTTCTCCTTGACCTTTCCATCAATCACATGTGCCAGAAATGCAGTGTAATTCTTCTTCAAGTACTTTCGCATTTTCATGCATGATATTATCTTAACTTTTAGATCTGACTTGTCTCCCTGAATCACAATTGGGTCATTTCCATCTTGAGGAATCCGGATAACCTTCTCTGAACAGACAATTTTAGCTTGATTTTTGGATAGCCAATCCATGCCTACAACTATGTCAAAACTTTCTAGTTCAATCGGTATAAGGTCTATGCTAAAATCCTTATTGGCTAAACTTAGAGTGCAATCCATAATTATATTTCTAACCTTAATTTCTTGACCATTGGCAAACTCAATTACATAAGCTTCTTTCAGCCTTTGGGACTTTAGGTTAATCTTCTGCTTAAAGTCCAGTGATACAAAACTTCTATCTGCTCTTGAGTCAAATAGAACTGATGCGAATTCATTATTCAAAAGAAACGTACCTGAAACCACATTGGGATCATCTCTAGCTTCTTTGGCTCCGATCTCAAATGCTCTGCCCCATGCCTGACTTTCTAGGTTTCCTTGACTGGCCGATCGGGCTTGACTTGCATTTGCTCCTTGTTTTCTCTTTGGGCAAACATTCCTCATGTGATCTGGACTTCCACAATCGAAGCATATTCGTCTTCGACAATCCTTTGTTGTATGACCCCCTAAGTGACAGATGATGCAGTTTCCCCAGTGCGGATACTTGCATTTATTGCACTTGGTCTTGTCTCTTTGTTTCACCGCCTGAGTCTGTACCCCAAAATTTCCTATCACTCTCCTATTCTTGTCATATTTTCCCCCAGATCTTAGATTCCCATGCTCCTCTATTTTTCTTTTTCCCTTAGCGAATTCTCCTGATCGAACCGCATTATTCGTGAGCTTGGTGGCAATATCTATTGCCTCCTTAAGGGTTTTTGGGTTGGCCGAGGTGATGTTTCCCCTAATCTCTGGAGACAATCCCCAAATATACCTCTCAATGCGGACTTCCTCCGATGTCACTAGATGAGGTACTAGATTCACTAACTCATGGAATCGGGCTGTATAAGCAGCTATATTTTCCCCTTTCATTTCATGATTCCACAACTCCATTTCTAACTTTTGGAGTTCACTTCTTGGACAGTATTCATCCTTTAGTAATTTCTTAAATTCTTCCCAAATAAGCTGGTTAGCCGTTTCCCGACCCCTAGTTTGTACCAATGTATTCCACCAGGTAAGTGCCCTTCCTTGTAACAAACATGCCGTATATTCTACTTTATTTCCTTCAGTACATTTACTAATGTGAAGAACAAACTCCATGCTTTCGAACCATGATAGTAATCCTACTGCTCCTTCGGTTAAATTGAATTCTTTCGGGTTGCAAGATCTAAAATATTTATATGTGCATTCCCTAGCCACCGTTGGTTCTGGATTGTTTGGTTGATTAGCATTCAGGCCAGCAGCCACTTGACTAACTATATTGGGGAGTGCGGCCAAAAGTTGTTCTGACACAAGTCGTGCAACCTCAGAGTTTTCTCTTCTTGGCGGCATTTTCTATGGCCTAAATCAGAAGGGAGTTTCATCATTAATATGGCAATACAAGGATGATAGCTTCCAATCATTTAAATGATGTAAGGGACATTCATCGCATGGATATTATTCAAGCATTTATATAATCAAACAGATTAATCTTATACACACCATGACTTGTCATAAATAAGTGTTTCTTCAAAAAGACATCATGCATTCATAGATGATTATAGTCACAAAAACAGGATTTTGAGTTTCTATGCCAAAGAGTGGGTATCCTACCACTAATCCACCTTCCTAGAACAACATCCATCCTATCACTATTCCCAAAATTAGCATCATCATTCCACTCACTACCAACCATCTATATAATCTCCTTATTTCTTGCCTTGCTGCAATGACGACATCCGTGTTCCTCAACATGCGCTGATGGTGTGCTTCCATCACATCGGACAGGTTGTTTAGGTTTGTGGTGGAACATCAGGTGCTGGTTCCGATGGGGGTAGGAAGGATGCTTGTGGAGAGGCAGATGTTCCACTAGTCATAGTGTCCTCCTGTTCATATGGGTCTATCTCTTCATTGTGGGCTGAGTTTCTTCTAGAGTGGCAAACCACGTAACCGGATTCATCGACCGAGTATTCACTAGGATTGGATGACGCCATAGTGATCTGCGACATTAATAATCTTAATTACTAAATGCACCATCTATAAATACTTAGTGATATAACCAAAGCTTCTAAGCAAGGCTAAGGGTGGCAATCCAGTTAGACCCTCTAAATATAAAGTCTCTGGTTGTACTACCAGAGCCTCTGGTTTCATGACCAGAGCTTCTGGTTCATCTTATATAGAAAAGTATTAGATATCTCGTCCATCGGTCCTCTGATTCCACATTTAGACTAAGCAGATCAATGGAATTTTACTTCATCGATCGCTGGTTCTACATCCATACTTAGAGAAAGGATGGATTTCTCCTTCATCGATCCTCTGGTTTCTCATACTTAACAGATCAATAGATCTCTTGCATCTGCCAGCACTAACAAGATCTTTTTCTAGAAGTCAGTGGCTACACAGCATGCCTTTCGCATCATTATGCACTCCATGGGATTCGAACCCGTGACCTGCTCTGATACCACATGTTAGGATCCAAGTGCTTACCACTACGCCAAAAGCAATTGTTGGTGGAGAAGGCACAACTTATTTCCTTATAGCGTAGCAACCAGCGCCACGTTTCGATTTAGGAAGATGCTTGTCAATGACCCAACAATTCTCACCAGTGCTTTTGGTGCATTCATGAACACTTAACAAATTTAAGGAATTCCTATTCCATCGCCTCTAGTCCTTCTAACCAGAGCTTCTAGTGCCACTTAAACACTTAAAAATTTTATGAAATTTCTATCACATTGCCTCTGATCCTTCTAACCAGCGCTTCTGGTCCAACATGGACACTTAACAAAATAATAGATTTTCTACCCATCGCCTCTGGTCCTTCTAACCAGCGCTTCTGGNACATGGACACTTAACAAAATAATAGATTTTCTACCCATCGCCTCTGGTCCTTCTAACCAGCGCTTCTGGTCCAACATGGACACTTAACAAAATAAGGGATTTTCTACCCATTGCCTCTGGTCCTTCTAACCATCGCTTCTAGTCCAACATGGACACTTAACAAAATAAGGGATTTTCTACCCATTGCCTCTGGTCCTTCTAACCAGCGCTTCTGGTCCAACATGGACACTTAACAAAATAAAGGATTTTCTACCCATCGCCTCTGGTGTAACATTCATCTTCCTAATACGCTTAATTATGTGTTGAAAACATCGACTTTTCGGGTATGGTTTTGAGCATTGGGTTCTAAAAATGGAATCTTTTTATTAGAACTTGTAGGTTATCTCGTTTCGGACACGTAGGCGAAAACCTCATCGAAAATGGAGTCCCGCGCAAAAAGTTATGCAATTTTTTTTTAGTGTTTAGGGGTCAAAACGAGTACCCAGCCGAGTCAACCCGACCCAACTTGGGATTTAGGTCGCAAATCATCAAATCAGCCCCATTTTCAACCCCGTTTTCTCTCAAAATCAGTCTTGGTGTTCTAAGCTGCGATTACACACACTTGGGAGTTAATTTCTCTGAACCGTCCAAAATTTCGTGTTATTCCTGTGGTGAAGTTGGGCATATTCGTACAAATTGCCCAAGACGAGATCGAGCGTGTTATACTTGTGGAGCTTATGGACATCGTCAGCTTAATTGTCCAAATGCCTAACGTGAGGATAGTAAGGCCTTAGTACGACAACCAATGGTAGGAGGTTCCTCAACCCGAAAGGAGGGAGTACCAAGAGCAAGAGTTAGAGCGTTCCAGATCACAGCAGAGGAGGCTCGGGAGGAGCCAAAGCTTGTCACTGGTATATTTTTCGTGAATTCTCATCTTGCACATATATTGTCTGATTTTGGTTCTACGTATTCCTTCGTGTCACATGCCTTTGTTCGCTCTCTCGAATCTGTTCCTGTACTTTTTGATAGACTGTTTTCTGCGGATACCGCTAGTGGAACCCCTTTAGTAGTTGATAGAGTATTCAAAGATTGTACATTAGTATTGGAGGATCAAAACTTCTCAGTAGACTTAATCCTTATGGATATTCGTGACTTTGATGTGGTTATTAGTATGGATTGGTTAGTAGCAAATCGGGCGGATATTATTTGCGTGCAACGAATGATCCAAATACCAGTTAGTGAAGGAGATTGTGTTTATGTGTACGGAGAAAAAGGGGTCAGTGACATCAAGGTAATTTATGTACTCAAAACTCGTCGATATTTATCTAAGGGGTGCACTTCTTTCATGGCATACGTTTTAGATGCCACTAAAGAAAAAAACAAGTTGGCCAAGGATGTACCCGTGATATGTGAATTTCACGATGTCTTTCCTGATGATTTGCCTGGTCTACCACCGGACAGGCAAGTAGAATTTCGAATTGACCTTGTGCTAGGTGCTGCACCTATTGCATGGACACCCTATCGTCTTGCCCCGACAGAAATGAAAGAAATGATGAGCCAATTACAAGGATTAATGGATAAAGGTTTCATCTGATCGAGTACTTCACCTTGGGGTGCTCCGGTGTTATTCGTGAAGAAGAAAGATGGTTCATTTTGCATGTGTATTGATTACCGCGAGTTAAACAAAGTAACAATCAAGAATAAATATATGTTACCACGTATTGACGATTTGTTCGATCAACTGCAAGGAGCAAGTTATTTTTCCAAGATCGATTTGAGATCCGGATACCATCAGCTCAAGGTACGGGATGAAGATGTACCAAAAACGGCTTTCTGTACCCGATACGGACACTATGAGTTCTTAGTAATGCCATTTGGTCTAACGAATGCTCCGGCTGCATTCATGGATATGATGAATCGAGTATGTCGGTCTATGCTCGATAAGTCTGTCATTGTATTCATTGATGACATACTTGTGTATTCTAAGTCAGAAATTGATCATGCWACGCATCTCCGTCAGATGTTGGAGTTACTAAGAAAAGAGAAATTATATGCCAAGTTCTCGAAATGCGAATTCTAGCTCAGAAAGGTGCAATTCTTGAGGCATGTGATCTCCGGTGAGGGTATTTCCGTTGATCCATTTAAAATTGAGGCAATTCAGAATTGGGAACAACCGAAGAATGCCTCAGAAATCCGCAGTTTTCTTGGATTAGCGGGTTATTACCGACGATTCATAAAAGACTTTTCAAAGATTGTCGTTCCCCTTACTTCACTCACTCGCAAAGTTGTGAAGTTTGTATGGAATGAAGAACAAGAGAAAGCTTTTCAGCTCTTGAAAGCTTGTTTGATGAACGCTCCGATTCTTGCCTTACCCGAAGGTAACGATGACTTTGTGGTCTATAGTGAAGCGTCGAAGTTGGGATTGGGTTGCGTATTGATGCAAGGAGGCAAGGTGATTGCGTATGCCTCCCGACAGTTGAAGGATTATGAGAAGAACTACACCACTCATGATCTTAAGTTGGCGGCAGTAATGTTTGCCTTGAAATTATGGCGTCATTATCTTTGTGGGACGACATGTCAATTATTCACGGATCACAAGAGTTTGAAGTACATTTTCGATCAACAGACTTTGAATATGAGACAGCAAAGGGCCATAGATTTAATAAAAGACTATGACTGTGAGATACTCTATCATCCTGGTAAAGCCAACGTGGTGGCAGATGCTTTGAGTCGAAAAGCGTATGTCTCTTATATGTGTTACGCAATCACTCACACGTCCATACAGTCTACGCTTATTGACGACCTGCGAAGATGGCAAGCCGAAGCTTTAAAACCTGAACACGTGAAGTTTGAACGGATAGTTGGATGTGTAGATTCTCTCTCGGAAGATAATCGTGGCGTGAAAGTGTTTAGATCCCGAATCTGGGTGCCGAAACTTGGTGGTGTGCGAGAGACTATTCTGGCAGAAGCTCACAAATCTAGAATGTCCGTTCATCCTGGCAGTACAAAAATGTATCATGATCTGTGTACCGAGTTTTGGTGGCCGGGCATGAAAGTGGATATTGGCCGTTATGTTGAGAGATGCGTTATGTGTTTGCAAATGAAGGCTGAGCACCAAAAACCTTATGGTAGTTTACAACCTTTGGAGGTGCCCGTCTGGAAATGGGAAGAGTTGACCATGGACCTCGTAACGAAGTTACCGAAGACTTCTCGTCAACACGATAGTGTTTAGGTAATTGTGGACCGGTTAACAAAAAGTACTCATTTTCTCGCGGTTCGGGAAGATTATGCTATGGATCGTTGGGCACAAATATACATCGATGAGATAATTGCCCGTCACGGTGTACCGTTAAAAGTAGTTTCTGATCGTGATTCTCGATTTACCTCAAATTTTTGGACTAGTATGCAAAGAGAACTAGGGACTCATATCGCTCTTAGTACCGCGTATCACCCCCAAACCGATGGACAATTAGAGCGCACGATTCAAGCGATGGAGGATATGTTATGAGCTTGTATCTTGGAGTTTGGTGGAAGCTGGGATTACCACTTGCCACTTATAGAGTTCTCGTATAACAACAGTTATCACTCCACGATCGGCATGGCTCCATTTGAGGCTTTGTACGGATGTAAGTGTCGTACACCTCTCTGTTGGCAAGAAACTGGAGAGAAAGTGTTGGCTGGATCCGAGTTGATTCAAGTCACACATGATAAGATACGGGTTATACGTGAAAGAATGAAAGCAGCCCAAGATCGATAGAAATCTTATGCCGACAAACGACGACGACAGATTCAGTTTGAAATGGGAGATATGGTGATGCTGAAAGTATCACCTTGGAAGGGAATTCTACGGTTTGGTAAGAAAGGAAAGTTGAGTCCACGTTTCGTTGGACCCTTTAAAATCCTTGAATGTATTGGAAAACAAGCCTATCGTTTGGAGTTGTGTGGAGTCCATATTTCATACAAATCTTGATGTGATCTTCATAGATTGATATGAACAATGATGAACACTAAGAATGATGTAAGTAATGATTAGATTGGAGAGAGAGAGAATTACATCAGCCAAATCTTGATTTCAGTATTAATGACAAAAGCTCTAATTATAATTACAAGGAATTTCCTATTTATACTAGGAAAGTAAAG